TGTGTGTGTTGTGAGGTGTGGTGTATGTGTGTTGTGAGGTGTGGTGTGTGTGTGTGTTGTGAGGTGTGGTGTGTGTGTGTGTATCGTGAGGTATGGTACATGTGTGTGTTGTGAGGTGTGGTGTGTGTATGTATTGTGAGGTATGGTATGTGTGTGTGTTGTGAGGTGTGGTGTGTGTGTGTTGTGAGGTGTGGTGTGTGTATGTGTGTGTTGTAAGGTATGATAGGACACAGTAACACAAAAGCACAGAGAAGTCTGGAACCACCACCTCCCAGGAGAGTTTGCAGGCCTTCTTCAGGCCCAGTATCTGGGCCACACCCACACGTCCCCACCCTGACCACGCTGTCATCCCACCTCTGAGGTGGAGATGAGTTGATGTTAGTAGAAGTCTAGATCTAGGCATGGTACATGGAGGTTAGCGTTAGACACACGTCTACTAATTCTTGAACAGAAGCATGATGACACCCATCCCCACCAGAGTTTGTCACTGCTGGGACACATTTGCCAGGTGGGCCTTGTCGCCCACCCCCATCCCCGCCCTGTGATCTATGTGGCACAGTGTTGAGATTTCAAAGACTTCTTAAGGGTTACCTGACTTCTGTATGTAGCAACAGCAGACCCACGGGAAAGAAATGGAAGTCCGTACCCCATCTACAGCCACATTTTGATTTAGCACTGGGCCCTGGAGCTTATGAAGCCCACACCACCACTATCCACTTAACCTGAGAAGATGCCAGTTTGGCATTTATGGAACTTAGGCCTGCTCACAGGTTCTGAGAGATGAAAAAAAGTCCAAGGATGGGAGAGAAAGGAAGAGAGAAGGACATGAGGGAGAGAACTCAGGAGAGAGGATCAGAAAGGGAATAAGAGAGAGAGGTAACTATTCCGTATTACTTTTCTAAGCATCTGTTCTTCCTGGACCTCACCTCAAAGAATTTCCATCCCTGACAAGGGCCTGAATCCAGAAGATTCTTAGCAGACATTTGCTGCTAAGCAGCGTTGAGATAGCCAGACTCTACTTTTCTCTCTCTGCCACAAGGCTCCCCCTACCACCCTCCAGCCAGCCAGCTTCCAATCACAAACCACCAGTTCATTAAATAGTAGCTCCTTAGGAAATGACTTGGGACTTGGCAATGGGCCGCTTGTTACTTAACACATCCTTCTGGCACACCATCAGTGAACTTGGCCACGGACAAAACAGCACATTAATGAAGTGGCAGAAGGATCCGGAAGTGGAAAGAGCTGACATTTTTCCCCCTAAGACACAGAGAAATGGGCTGCACACAGAAAAATGAGGCTTGGGAAAAATTCCGACAAGGATGAGGAGGAAAGCATCCCAAGCCATCTGCCTCTAATAAGGAAAGAGATGGGCTTATCCTGGGTAGCATGGGGCTCAACGGGCGTGCTGAGATGAGCAGAGAAGAGGACAGGCATGCGTGGGTACAGCCTGTCAACTGTGTACGTCAAGCAGGGTACCTCCCAACCCAGTCAGAGGAACCCAGGAAAGAAAGTAATCAAGGAGGCTGGGGAAGAATAATGCCAGCCCCACCTTCCCAGGAGGAAGAATTCCATGCCATATAGGATTGCAGGCATGTACCGCCATTCCTGGCTTCTGGGCTATCAGGAATTGAACACGGGGCCTCACGTACGCTTGCCAGGCACTCTGCCAACCGAGTCACATGCCCAGGCTTCATTATAATTCTCAAGACAGCCTCCCATATTAGACGAGAATTCACAACAACCTTTACTTCTCATGACCATCGGACAGCTGACCACTTTTACTCATTTTAACACCACGTGTGCAGCACCCGCCGCCGTGGCTTGCTGTGCCTTTATTTTGCCTCCTCACTGCTTCTGGCTCATTCTAGTCCTTCTCCGGTCGATAACAAATCGCTCAATGTCATACATAACGGGCTCCTGAAAATGTGTTCTCCCAGAACAACAAACCTACATGACTTCAAAGTTCCGAATCCTGCTCCCGTAGAGCTAGGAAGGGTGATCAAGCCCAGAGCCACACCCCTTCAGAGTCCACCTCCAGGTGATTTCTTTTCAGTGTTTTGTACCTATGCATTGGTTGCCTTCACAATTCAGGATGCAGTAACCCAAATCCAATGGAGCCAATGATCCATTACCTCAGCATACCTATTGATTTTCATCTTTATCTAAAGACTATTAAGGCCTGGCGTTATCAATTTCAAGACTCATGTTTCCACTTAGTTTCATAAACTATGAGAAAAGCACAATAAAAATATTCGAATAATTGCACAGATTTCATGCAACTGCGTCAGAGGCTGAGGGAAAAAAATCTGCTGAAAGGTAACTCCTGGCTGGCAGAGAATACTCTCTGTACCCCCCGACTTAGGTGGCTCCACCTCAGAGGTCAGAGTGGCCCCCAGGAATTTCTAGGCCATCCGGATGTTTACAGGCTTCACCACACCTTTGTCCCAAATACCAGTCAAGCCTCAATCCGAATGACCTTCTCACCTAAAAACATAATCCTCACCCAGCCTCCTTGTCAAAGCCCCTTTGTGCACTGGCCCCATTTTTAACCTACAGCGTATGCACGGAATTACCCTTCTTCCCCTATGGCCACCTCACAATCTCCACTTCCTTTTGGGGAATCTTGCTCATTACAGAAGTCTTCCAAGATGGATCAAAAAGGAAAAGCTGTACCTTTCCTCCCCCATTCAGTTTGGATTTGGAAATCACAAGGGCTGTTCTCATTACCCCGTCCCATCCATCCCTTACAAGTCTCATTTTTCTTTTCTTTTCTTTTTTTTTTTTTACATTGTTTTTTGTTTTGTTTGTTTTTCAAGACAGGGTTTCTCTGTGTAGCACTGGCTGTCCTGGAACTCACTCTGTAGACCAGGCTGGTCTCCCGCCTGCCTCTGCCTCCTGAGTGCTGGGATTGCAGGTGTGCACCACCACCGCCAGGCTCGTCCCATTTCCATAATTATTTGTTGTATTTATTTATATTTATTTATTCTGGGCTTGATTTGAAGACCCTGCCATCCATTCCCATCATCAGGCAATGCGCTGTGTGTGCTGCTGATAGTAGATTCATTTATACTCCTGCACTGTTTACATTTTGAACTTCATTCTGTCTAGGACCCCTCAACATCATCTCCTCTCTCAGCTACTGCCAAGTGCACATTTCCATAACACTGTGATGATCATTTTTTTCCTGGGGCTCTTGCAGCAATCAGATAAACAAATGCATGCACATACCTATATATATATTCACATACATGTGTATGCTAACATGCACATGTGGATACACGTACACACCACACACACACACACACACACACACACACACACACACACACACACACGTTTCCCTCCTCCCTAACACTAAATCACCCAGAACCTTTGACTTTAGCGCAAGTTTCTATATGAAGCAAAACTTTAATCCCACCAAAAGAAAAAGAAAAAAAAGAATCTTCTGGGCTTGGGGGCAAAGTTTTTAGGAAATAGTACAACCCACAGATGCAGAACTAAGAAAGTAAGGTATTGGACACCCTGCCCCTCAACTATGAACCACAGAGATACCTTATGAGGCAATCCAAAAATGCAGATCATTTTATAATAGCTGTTTTCAAGCATGATAGAGAGCCAATTATTCCTCCAAGCAGTCACTAGGGCAGAGTGCTACTTGGAAACCTCAATTTTCTTCCCAGGCGATTCAAAACACACAGGGGAAAGTGGGGAGGGGAATCCATCCTGGAAATGTCAGAGGTTGCTCTGGCCAGTGTCTCATGGAAATCTATTCAGGCTCCGGCCAGTGTCTCATGGAAATCTATTCAGGCTCCCGCGCATCGAACAGGCTGTCTTCTCTGTGTGCAGAGCAGAGATAAACACCACTCTTCACCTGCTGCCCCAGCCCTCACCTCAGGTTATTTTCATTATTCTTCACTGTGGATGCTCTTTCTTTAAAACCGTAAAACGAAAATGCTCGCCTGTGCTAGCAAAAGCAGAGCCTCAGACAGAAAGAGTTCTCACTGGGAGGGGAGGGTCCCAAGAAGGGGCAGACCTCACTTCCAAATGCAGGTGCCTGGGGATGGGGGTCTGAGCCTCACACTCAGGAAGAGCACAGGGCTGAAGGAGTTTGTTTACATTCTTCTGAGCCACCGCGGGTTAGGGACTTTCCTAATTGCCTGGGACTCTGCTTCTCATAGGCCCCGACTTCCCTCCAGGTCCTTTGTTGGAGCCTCTTATGGCTTCGCCCCTGGAAATGAGACTGTTGGGAAGCCGAGTTTGCCTCTGTGAACCTGACTTTCTCCTGTGGAGATTTCTTTTGCAGCCTTGGGAGCCTCCTCAGCAGCACCCAGCCCCGGCCTTCCCACATGCATGTCTCCTGAACCACCTTCACTGTGGGGGCCATCGCCAGGGCCACCCACACCATTGTCCTTTGTGAGCTATTTTTTTTCCTCAAAACTACTTGTCAAAATTGTCATTGTATATTAAAAAGAAACCAGTAGCAGCACCACTTACCACAAGTGGAAAATCCACTCAGAAATGAACTCACAGCAAACAAAATAATGCCACAGTACCCTAGCCTGTCACGTATGAATCCCTAGCTAAAGATACCAAGTTCAAGGCCAGCTCCCTCTTCCTTATATAAGGAGACTGCCAAGTCCTGAAGAAGACAGTCCAAGACTCTCTGGCATGAGTAGCAGGGCTGAAGGAAAAAATTTTAAAGGGAAACACTTTCTAAGCCGAATCTCAACATTTTTTTTTTTTTTTTTCTGAGACAGGGTTTCTCTGTGTAGCTTTGCGCCTTTCCTGGAGCTCACTTGGTAGCCCAGGCTGGCCTCGAACTCAGAGATCCACCTGGCTCTGCCTCCCGAGGGCTGGGATTAAAGGCGTGCGCCACCAACGCCTGGCTAAGCCGAATCTCATTCATTGCCATTGTGTAGGTTGCCAAATGTCACTTCTGGTATGGTAGACAATCTCTCCTACCCTCCTAAAAGGCCAATATGAGAGAGAGAGAGACAGACAGACAGACAGACAGACAGACAGACAGACAGACAGACACAGACACAGACACAGACAGAGAGACAGAGAGAATGCTTAAAAACACCATGGGGGGGGGCCTGTACACCCACAGCTTTAAAAAAAACACTTAACACCTCCACTAGAAGAGTGTCTAGGAGAGCCCTCTTTCAGTTTAGCACCCTAAATAAGGAAAACCCCAGATTCAAAGTTCTGAAAATCAGTCCCCACACCACACCCCAAGAAGAAGACTCAGCATTCACCCCACAGCTTCTCTGGTTAGGATCCTGATAGGAAATGACATGTGGTTATTAGTTTTGAAGTATCTGGCATCTTTGTATGCAGTATTAGGTGCCCTCCCAAAACCTCAGGGCTTCCCAGATGCACAAGTCCCCACCCAGACACACCCTTCCTACTGGCCTAGGGGTAGCCCCCAACACCAAAAGACAGCTGACATTTAAGACTCGACTGAAACCACACGGACCCTGTCTCTTTGAAATGTCAAGGCAGAAAGCAGCCAGGCCCAGCAGGCTTCTTCAGAACTGGTGAAAAAAAAAAAAAAAACAACTCTTCTCTGCAGCCTTGCTTCAAATCAATCAATAGAGACCACAGGGGGCAGAGTGAGGTAGAGGCTGACCTTTGAGTGAAGGGCAACTGAGATGATTCACAGTCGTGACTCTACCACATTCTGAGTCTTCAGGCTTCCTCCCCACATAACAGATGCTATGGTCCAAGTACCTGAGGATGGCTGGACTGAACTCCATCCGGGTTTCAATTGGATCTTGGTCTGTCCAGGTTTAGAGTGAATGTTTCCTGGTGTGTGTGTGTGTGTGTGTGTGTGTGTGTGTGTGTGTGTGTGTGTGT